ACTCCGTTGCTTGGGACTTCATTAGGAAGTGGTATCCCAATCATTTACTTTGGTAACAATGATAAAAACTGGCTCGCTCCCCCGGCCTTTAGTGGTCTCCCCGCCCCTCCCAAACTCTGCCTCTAATACCTACGGTTTCGGCAAACTCGCTATACCGTTCGTATCCCTAGAGATCAGCAAACAAACCAGCAACCTAGGTTTGTTGGCCCTACTACACATCAGGTAACTAACCCGCTGCCCCATCATAGAGGTCCTCTGGAACCTGCAACAAATCAGTTTCCTCTGTTTGTAGACTCTCAAGGTCTAAGTAACCAACATTTTCACAGCACCTCGGAACAGAATACAAACTCAATACAGTTTCCGGCACCACTGGTTAACTCTCAACCTTCTAATACACGACAAATAACCAACCACCATCCTGGACTGAGCTTCGTACCAAGACCACAAGTCTTCCACGACTTGCGTCAGCCTACATCTGTCTGCGATCCCCTCGCCAAGCCGTTGGTAAGGCTTCTCATTAGTTCTGTGAACTATCCTTTATTTTTTTTTTTTTTTTTTTTTTTTTTTTTTTAAACTTTTGGAAAATTCCAGGTTGACGAGATTTACGATGGAAAGGCTTACCACTTCTCATGGTGTCACGATGGCGGCCGATCCTACACCTGGTTAACTGCTAACTATTACTGTGCAGGCCTTGGTAATGGCTTTCAACCTGTCAGTTTAGAAAGTCGGCTAGAACAAGATTTTATTTCTACCATTATTATTCAACGTAAGTTTAATCCTTTTGTTCTTGATTCTCGGAAATTGACTATTCAATAAACCAATTTTCTTTTCTGATTGCCTTGCATTTCCATTGTCATCTCCTAAACTATGGACTATGCTTTATTTTTCATTAATATAAATCTAAAATTACATTTTCAGATTACATCTCTGACGTATGGACGAGCGGTAACACCATAAGCTCTTCCTCTTGGACTTGGTTATCTGGTGCGTCTTCAGCTTACACAAACTGGTCTCGTACTGGCAGGTAAAACTTCTCTATGAAGGGGGTGGGGGAGAAAGTACATGTAAATTTTAAATATTTTTCTTACACTAACAATTCTGTCCATAGGCGAGGCCTCCCTCAACCGATAACGACGAAGGTAACGAGAAGTGCCGGCTTTGCTCAATAACCACTACAACGACGGTGTTACATGGCACGACTCAAACTGCAACAATCAAAGACGCGTTATATGCGAGGCAACACACAATTCTATGGTGTATTGAAATAACCTTTTACTTCAGCTTGCTGTCATATTTTCTTCTTAAAGGCAGAATTAAAGCTTTTGTTTAATCCCTAGTTTCATTGTTTACCCTCCAGAGCCTCTAAATTATTAACTTTTAATACTTGCTCAAAATGGCCAAGACTCTTCCATTGTCTTTAACTTGGCCAAGTTCTTTGACTAACAAACATTTAATTATTATCCTTTTAACTTTTATTACCACACATTGCCCTCAAAAACAATTTCCCCTGTTGACTTAAACCTAGCTCTATTTGCCCAAATGTGAAATTTTTTTCTTTTTTCTTCACTTTAAGTATTCTACTTAGAGGTCAGACGTGGAACCCAGAGGAGCAGAATATTTTTTCCTCAGTCTTAGGGGGCCTGTTCAGAGATCTTCAGTTGGGTGATGCTTTTGGGAAAGTCTGTGGAAGGTGGTACATACTTTTAAAGGCGAGGATACACGGCTCGTTCAGACAGAATATATTTATCTGAGGGTTTTGGTAGTTTTAAAAACTATCGAGATGGTCTTCTGTCATAGGGCGGTATAGTGGAAATGGGGTGGGAAGCTTTGGCTAGTAGGCAGGGAAGCTTAACTGAATAAGATGGTTTTGGGGGATGGGAAGGGAGTGGAGGTTTTTTTTTTTTTTTTTTTTTTTTTTTTTTTTTTTTTTTTTTTTTTTTTTCTCTCTCTCTTGTCTCTCTCTCTCTCTCTCTCTCTCAATAGTTTGGGAACAGCTCTGTGCAGAGGATGGACTGAGGAGGATATGGTAGGATGGTGAGATAGTGTGGCCAAGATAAGAATACGTAAATTTTGTGCGGAGGGCAAACCATTAATTGCAGTATGGTTTCTCAAATTTTAGAATCTAGATTACCGGGTTATGCGGGGGGGGGGGGGGTTGTACCCCATGGAGGAAATAAATGTTCAAGGACAGGATAAAGGATTTGCAAGAAGTTTTGCAGTGGTATGGGTAAAAGTGGGGCTGGACGAAGTACTCTCGTGGCGACGAGTCATCGGCTTGCGTGCTGAGTAAAAACGGTACGATGGCAAACTACAATACCGGGTTTGCAAGTCATTTCTTCGGTGGGGGTTTTAGAGAGGGTCAGGTATTGCAGGAAACAACTGGGATGAGTGCAGATAGATGGTTTGAGGAGTATGGGGAAAAGTAGTGTCGTGGATGCAGAGGTTTTGGGCAGGTATGTATGTTCTGTGCAAACTGGGGAGGAGTGATCTGGAGGCACTGGGTGGGGTCATTGAGGAGGAAATATGGAGAGCCCTTATGGACATTAGTAAGGTAAAGGTGCCCAGGATAGATGGTTTACCAAGCGAATTTTATGTAAAACACGGAGTCTGCTAAGGGGTTTCCTAGTAAGGTTAATGAATGCCATGAAAGACTGAGTTATGATTGGAGAATTGCAGGCAGCGACGGTGTTGGTCCCGAAGGGCAAAAAAGAAAAAAGGCCGAGTACCCTTCGGGATTACAGCCATTTCGTTGCTTTGTGCTGATTATAAGATGTTTGTGAAAGTTCTTGGGAATAGGCTTAAGTGTTGTGGGGAGGGTGATGTTTTGAGTATTTGGGTTGCCGGGTAGGTCAATGGTTGAGGGCCACGGGATCATAATGGAGGACATGGAAGGGGGGCAGAGGAGCATTGTTGGCATTGGATTGGCAAGGGGCTTACGACAGGGCAGATAGAGGTGCTTTGCAGGATATTCTCCTCAGACAGGTTTGGCAAAGAAAGTGAGGTGGGTGGATAAATTTTACTCAGGAGTTAAGGTAAGGGTGCAAATCAATGGTTGTGTAGGGGTCACCATGGAGCAGGGTCTTCGGCAGGGTTGTCCAGTATCACAACTTTTGTTTGCATGTGTTCAGGATCCATTATAGGATGGAAGATCGTCTAAGGAATGGGGGGGGGGGAAGATGGTGTGCAGAAGCCTTGGCCTGGCTTGGTGGGCTGTTGACGATACAACTATTCTGGTGTGTGAAGTGACACGGTTAGGAGTTTTAGGGGGGAAGTTATACACATGTTTGGGAGAGCTACTTGGATGAAGGTAAATCTGTAGGTCAATGATAATGGGGCCGAGTGGGCAGGGAGATTAGAATGGGGATGTGATGTCATGCAGCTTCAGACTCAGTCTGAAAATCTGTGGTCATATATGAGGCTGACCCAGTGCTGAAAGGGTCAATACAAATTGGATGGTAGAACAGGTGCAGCAACGTTTGGGAATGCTGCGACCTCACCATTTAACCCTTAGGCCACGAGCAATTGTCATCAATGTATTTATATAGCAAGTCTGGTTTGTATCGGCAGTGTTGCCGTTAACAGGAACGGCGATCACGAGTATTCTTATAATGGTGTTCAAATTATTGTGGGGTTCAGGGTGCAACTGGTTGCAAAGGGAGGTAGTGATATTGCCCATACACAGGTTTTTGTGTACTATGCTGGTCAGAGGAGCTTTCATTTGTGTAGCTCCTATGAGCACATGGCAGGCAAGTGTCCTAGGAGGCAGGCTCCTTGAGTTCCGGGCCTCCATTTGTGATCTGGCAAGTGATTTGGTGCCTGACTTGGGTGCTTCGGGAGGATGGAGGACTTGCCTCTGGAGTGAAGAGGTCGAAAGGGAGGTGGCGGCAGCGGAGACGTCACTCCCAGGGGCGTCGGTGGAGACTGTGATGCCTGAAAGAGTTTAGTTCAGGATTCTTCGACACAGGATGGTTTATTGGTGGATGTGATAAAGGATTTTTTGGGTGGGGAAGTCTTGTGCAGAAGGAGTCTTCAGTTTGTGAGGGACAACAAAAGGCAGAGAAAGCATAGAGAAAGAAAGGACTAGAATGTGTGGTGTTGAGGTACACCAGGAGGATTTGCGTGATGGGGATGTGGAAGTTCTAGGAAAAGAACTGCAGGAGCTTCAGATACCCAAGGTCATCACCCTGGGTCAGAGGCCGGGGAAGAAATCGTGGGCAGTGGTGGAGCCAATGGCTTCAGTGGTAGATAGTGTGCCCGAGTTGCACAGCGGAGAGGGGGGGGAGAGTGAGTGCACAGGAAAGAGTGAAAAAGCAGTTACACACAATGTGAAAAGTGCATAGGGGAAAGCCACCTCTTTTGTAACTTGCAGATGTGTCACACTTAATTAATGTTAATGGCCTTAAGGCAGAGGTCAAGAAAGTTTGGTTGGTGTGGTTTTTTATGGAGGTTTGATGTTTACATTTTTCTTTGCAGGAGTATAATCGCAGGGCTGGATGGGAGTTGAGATTGAAAGGATATTGCATGTTAGCAGTGGTTTGCTATTGTGGGGTGGCAGTGAAGGAGACCAGCCCCTTGCATGTCATGGGTTGGGAAGAGGAGGGTAATGAGGGTGGATGGTGTCTGGGGTGAGTCGGGCTAGTTTCGTAGGTGGTTTACATGAGCAGCGATAGCAATACCAGGGTAAAAGTAGATTGTCAGGGAGGTATTGCTGTATGACTTGAAGTTTGCCTGCTATAAGTCATAGATGATTGGAAATGTATGAAACGGAGTGATGTTGAACAGAGAGGGGTGGACTGTGTTTGAGGGATGTATTGCAGGATGTTGGGGTTGTGGTGGGGAGGGGGGGGATACCTACTGGAGCATAGGTTCGTCCAACGGGGATATGAGGCACGATTGGACAATCTGTCGAGCAGTGGAGTAGTGCGTATTTATTCTGGGTACTGAAAATTAAACGTAAGACTTCTTGAGGAGGGGGTGGGGCCTTTTTTCAGTGATTTGTGGTTGCATTTTTGGGAGGCTAAGGATGGGGAGATGTTAGATTGGTGGGAAACGCAGGCTAAGCCTGAGATAGCGATTTTTTTAAGGTTAGGGGATGTGAAGAGAGCTGGCATTAAGGGTTGCAAAATTGAGGGACAGTTGCAAGACTGTTGTGATGGGCGAGGTGGTAGGAGAGATGACATAGGTAGTCTCTGGCGTAAATAGCTGAATTACCCTATGATGGGTTTGATACAATTAGGGTTAGGTTAGAGGATGTATTGTGGGGTGATAAGCTGTCTGGGGTTTTATGTAAATTTAGAGAACGAAAGACGGTAACCACCATATTACAATTGGAAATAGGAGTGGGAGGGTACCCAGAGGGTCTGGTCCTATCCAACATGGAAAGTCTCTGGATTAGAAGGGGGGGGCGTTTCTGGGAGGGAATTTTGGAGGGGGGTTCCATAGTGTTTTAAGTGAGCAGGATAGTGGGTTTGGAGGGTGGTATAAGTGAGGTTGAGGTGGAAGAGGCAGTTTTAGGGATGAGTACCGGAAAAAAAAACACCGTTGTTAGATGGTATACCAAATGATTTTTATAGAGCACATTGGGGGTGTATTAGGCAATGCTTTGTTGGGGTATTGAACCATGTTAACTAGTGGTAAGTTGGGCAAATTGCAAAGTACGGGTGTCTGTTTTGATACCAAAGCAGAGGGGGCAAAGGGTCTAGAGTGCTTATCGAGCAATATCTGATGTGTGCAGATTACAAGGTTTTTGCGAAAATCTTTGGCAATAACTGAAGGTCATGGGGTTGGTGATGCATGGGGGACAGTTTGGAATTCCAGGGAGGAGTATGTGGGTAGGTAATGGACGTATTAGGGATTTTCTCGAGGGTAGTAGTGGGGACTATTCTAGGTCTGGATTAGGAGAATGCTTATGGTGTGGATAGGGATTTTTTGATTGAGAGTATGGTAAGAATGGGTTTTGGAGGGTGGTGGGATGGGTGAGGATATTATATGCTGATGCATCGATGAGTACAGGTAAATGGTTGGTTGGGTAGTGCTGTACATATGGGTAGGGGTTCGAGGCAGGGGTGTCTGCTCTCCCAAATACTCTTTGCATGTATGCAGAATCCTTTCTATGTGCTTGTTGATGGTGGGACAGGAGGAAGGGAGGAGAGTGGAGGCTTTTGTGGGAATATTGTGGATTATGTAGATACAACTGTTATACTTAATGAGAGAATTTAAGTAAGGTGGGAAGGGTACTTGAGATTTTTGGTAATGCTAGTGGT